AGGCTCCCCGTGTGCTGGGGGCCCACCCTCTAGGAGCCAGCAGGCAGAAAGCTAGCCATCCAGAAGGCTGGCACTCCACACCCGCGGCTCCCTCAAAAACCCCAAATATAAAAATAACTACTGAATACAGAAGAAAACATGATGACATCTATCAGATAGGAGAGGGGTATCCAATCAGACAAATAAAGCAGGATGAAAGCAGTAAAATACCTCTGGTGCTTACAGTTCTGTGACAGTGTCCATGTTTAATCCCAGAAATGTGTTGGTTATGGACCTGATCTTGGCTTCTGGATGTGGGGGCCTGGGACTGGACTTCTGCTGTTGGAGTTTTCTAGAATTCAGCCACTGGCTCCTTGCTGCTGTGTCAGACACTTCCATGCTGCTAGTCTCACCAATCCGTCTGCCCTTCAAGGTCATGTGTGCCTGTGCACCTGGGACCCAGCTGTTGATCTAGGTCTCAGGTTCTGGGGTTCCTGTCAGTCTACTCAACAAAGGCGTGTGTCTTACACTTCCCTAGAGAACCTGACCCTGACTTCCTCTCCTTGGAGGCCCTGCCTTCCCACAGAGAGAATGGAGGAAGCACGGGGCATGGACTCACTCTGTTTGCAGGCCCTGCAGATCTACAGAGGAAATGGAGAGATTGCAGGGTGTGGACTCACTCTGTTCTCAGGTTCCCACTGTCCCACAGATAGAATGGAGGAGGCACAGAATCACTCTGCTTGCAGGTCCCTACAGTCCCACAGATAGAATGTGAAACTGATTTTATGGGAATTACTGCATTTGTGGGACACGTAACTATAGAAGTATAATAAGAAATGAGAATGTATTTGAAGCCATGGACATAACAGATAGTGTGATTTTCAATATATCTAGCCTGGAATAGGATAAATATAAATATATGTGACATTGCTCAAAGCTGTTCTCAAAATTTGATCTGGGAGCTCCTGGAGAGACTCTGAGATCCTTTAGAAGGGTCAGCAAAGTAATACTAGTTTTGTAATATCAAAAACTTATTTTTTTCATTCTCCTCTCAAGAGTGTACAGTACAATTTCATAGCACCTATGTATGTGATATCATGGCAGATAGAGTAAATGCAGAGGCAGATGTGAGAACCCTGTCATTTAATAAGTTAAATATGAAAGACAGTTCAGGATACCAAGAGCTAGAGGGAGTGGGGAAGGAAGGGAGGGCAAGGCAGGGGAGGGAAAGAATTAAGATGAGTTATGTACAGGTACCCACTTACCGTGATGAGTGTGATCACTATGTATTGCAAAAATGGACTAATGAAAATAAAATTAAAAAAGAAAACAAGAAAAAGAGGATAACACCTTTCCTCCTAAATTTTTAAATTAAGCATTTCACCATATTTTAAAAATGTAGTTATTTTTCATGTAAAATATCTATTAAGTTATTTATATCAATGTGTAATCTATCTACCATTAATATTTTAAAGTGAATTTGTGTTTTTTTTTTATTTTTATTTTTTTGGTTTTTCTCCGGTACTGGGAACCGAACTCACGACCTTGCGCTTGCCAGGCAAGCGCTTAAAGTGAATTTGTAATAAATCATTTAAATTTCTTAGTTTTAATTTCTATCATCAAAATTAAACTGTAAGTAGTACATATTAGTTATGCAGACTAATGGCTTCATTTTGACATACTCAGTGTGCATATGACATACTTTGACCATTCCTCTCTCATTACTCTCTTTCCCTTCCCTTTTTTATGGGGGAGCTGATCAGTCTCCCAATCTTATGGTCAAGCTTATGGTGAAGGATTAAATAAAAGAGACAATGCTATGTGGTTTGTAGGGGTCCAGGTAGTTAGAGTTCTCTTGGAGGTAAAACAAAGCTTTCACTGGACTGTCAATATTTATTAACATATAAGGCAGGTGCAGGAAAGTGGAGAGGGCACATCTGAGGCAAAAGGTGTGTGAGCAAGGCCTTGAGAAATTAGAACAAAGACATTCCAAGCAGTAAATCTTGCTAATGCAGAGAACCGCCTTAGCTCTAAGGTTGACACTTAGGCCCTTTGAATCCTGAGTGACCTAGTGTCCTCAGCTGCACTCTTATCTTGATTTCAAAGTTGTCACAGTGCCACAAAGCACTACAGGTCTCTAACTGTTGGTGTGGAGAATTCTGTTTTCTGCATGCTAGCTGCTTGCTCTTTGGGAAAGTCACTTAGGACTAGGGCAGACTCATAAGTTAACTGAGAAAGGCCAATTGATTAATTCTAAAGCCTGCTCAGCACTGTCTCATGTGGTCTCCATCACCCTTCATCTTCTCTAATATTCTCCCTGCTACTTTCAGGTTTCATTCTTTCTCTTATTTCTAGATTCTTTATATGATAGAAACTATGTGATGTTTGACTATCTGAGTCTGACTTAGTTTACTTAACATGATGGTCTCCACTTCCATCTATGAAAATTATTGTTAACAAATTAATGAACTGATAATTTCAGCAGATCCCTCCTTAATTTTGTTGAGAACTAAGACCTGGAAACTACCTGAGTTGCAAAGAGTTACCCTTGTACTAACAACAGCAATCAATATTATTATTTCCTTTGTTTGGTGTCCTTGAGGCTTTCTATCCCAATGCAAATTCCACAGTAAGATCTGTGAGAGATGGAACAAATTTTTAAATTTTTCTTTTCTTGGTAAGATGGGAAAGAGTGACCCTTCATGAAAGAAGGGGAAAGGAGAACACGTTGTCAGGCAGATAAATAGCAGGAAAGTATATATGTAAAGTTGAGACTGAAAATTGAGCCCTGAAGCCACTTATGTGCCTGAAGGTGCTTATAGCCCTTGAAGGTGCACAGGTCTCCCAGGACAGCACACCTCTGTGGGATAACACTTGGTTTGGACCGTCCTGATGGTGATCTCACACCTACACCACATAGTGCAGAATGTTTCCACTATCACAGAGCTATGTGTATGGAAGTTTAGGGAGGAAGGTAGGGGCTGGAAGGCCAGATAGCCTCAACTGGTTTGAAAGATTTTGAAAAACAACAAAGTGAATTTCTATAGTGGTTTGAAGTTGGCAAAGCATCTTCATGGATTATTTACTTTGACTGTCATATTGACCTTGTTTGATGTCTATGACAGGGACTTTTACTCCTGTATTACAGATAAGAAAAGTAAAGCTGCAGATTTTTTTTGATATGTGTTACCTAGCAAGCCTTTTCATGACACTTAAAATTATTATCATTAGTGGTAAAATATTTTTGAAAGATTGAATCCTAATTTGCTCTCACCTTGAAAGAAAAAGCTCACAGTTCATACATATATTATTCAGATTCTGCAAATCTAAGACCCTGTACATAACAAGTCCTTAGTCACTAGTAAATCTTTAACCACCTGAAAAACGACATGGAGAATATATTTCATGGGTGCATATTTAGATTCATTCCAGACTGACAGAGCCAGAAACATACAGTAAGAGATGTTATTAACCAGACTCATAATTCCTTTTTGGGGATCAATAGCTGATATTACTAACACCCCTTGCCCCCTTCCAATCTCAATGAACTGCAGTGGTCTAGACCATAAATTTCAAACAGATTGAATCTTACTATTTAGCTGGATGGGGTGAGAGTAGTATCACATTGGACTGTTTCAGTAATTACTTTCAACAATACCATTTCCCACTCAGATATAGCAAAATTAAACATAGGAACAAGGGAGGGTGAAGGAGAAGAAGGAAGGGAAGAGGAAAAAAGGGAATAGAAGGAAAAAATGGGACCACAGCTTTGTAAATAAGGAAGAGAAGAAGGATTGAAGGGAGGGAAATGGAAGAAAAGAACTAAGATATATTATATACAGGAACCCATTCCCTGGGATGAATGTGATTATTACATATGTCAAAAGTGTACCAATAAAATTAATTAATTAAAAACTTTTAAAATTAAACATTAAATGCTATAATCAGTAGCTTTGATTGTAAATCAGGTTACAGATAGCTGATGATTTATAATTATTTCTTTCCACTGTGTGTTGTAAATGACTGAAAATAATTTGCCTATTGAAAATTAAATTTCTTTCTCTTATGGGACAGTGGGTCCTGAGGCAGCTGGAGAGAGGTCAGAATTTGTCCCCACATTGCTGAGTGTCCTCTCTCTCCTTTGGCCAATGTGCTTCCTACTTCCAGAGGACATCCTAGACCTACATGTCCTAGAGCTCACATGTCATATAGATGTCTTAGAGTATCATATCAGTGTTCTAGACCTAGTGTGTCATATAGATTTCCTAGTTCTAGAGTGTCATACTGACAGATATCCTGAGATCACAAGTTTCTGAATACATCCATCCAGCTTGCTTCATCCCCAAAGAAAACAAGAGTCAGTTTTCAAAATATATTTTAATACATGAATGTTCCAGGTCTGAAGTGGCATAATGTAATATTTCAAAGACAAATTTACCCATTTAACTATTCTTTTTCTGAAGTTAGTATTCTCTACATTTAACATATTTTCTGAAATTCCAAAGAAAGTTGTCAGGTAAACTAAGAGTTTCTTCTGAGACCCTCCATGTGTCTCAGTCTATTCTATAATGTAATTAATGAAAGAGATTCACACGTGCCACCAAATTTGAGGCTGTGTAGATGAAACACGTTGACACAGCTTAGTGAATTCCTGGAAAAAAACAAAATACCTCTTAAATGTAGGTAAAAGTATTTTGAGTTTAAATTTTTGACATGATACTAAGGTTTTTTTCCCCCAAATTAGGCATTTCAGTATGAAATCATTTTTTTAAACCCAATCATACTTGGCTCTAGGTATTCCCATATATTAAACAATTATATTTGCTAGTAGGTGATAGAAAAGCTTTCTTCTGCAACACTTTGAAAGTCTCATCTACAGATGGGTTCATCTGTTGTGTGAACTCTAGCCTATCAGTGGCTGCTTGCAATATTATGATAGGAAGTTTTGAAGTTCATTCTAATGAGTTGAAAAACAGATCATGATGAACTGATCTTAGTATGGATCTGTTCCCGGTGTCTGGTGTGGGGCTGTGGATGAGTGTGTGTGTGTGTGTGTGTGTGCACACTTGTGTGTATACTCAGGGAAGACAGGACAGAGAGGAGCACAGCCTGTTTTCAAGTATTTCCAGCTTTGACCTAAGACGGAAAGTATGTTATGTCAGTAGTTAAGTGTGTTCTTTCAGGATAATACAACAGGGTTGGTGGTCCAGTAAAAACTTTTCTTTCCCTTTACTCAAATAAACCATGAGTGAGTAAAGAGGGCTCCTGGTTAATTAAGATCTGCAGTTATCAAAGCAAGACAAAGAACTATTTTCTCCCATTCTGCAGGTGACTTTCATGTGAGAGCTACATTCTAAGCTGGGGGAACTCACGATTTGGCGAGCTGGTGGTGGTCTCCTTGGTAGTGTGAGTGGCCTTTTGGATGCCTGCAGGAGTGGTCACTTCAAAGTCATCATCAGTGACACCAGGAGTCGAGAGTTGGCCCTCTGTGGTGGCCTGGATGTTAGCATTTGCTCCTGTTTGTCCCGTTGGAAGGGCTCCATCCTGGCCATCTGGATTAGCCCCTGCCTGACTGGTGGGCAGGATGCCTCCCGGGAACAAAGGGTGCAAGAGGAGGCCGGTGAAGATCTGGGGGCCCAATGGCTAGAGGAGAGAAAGAAACAGAAAATAAGCCAACAGGGACACACTTGAAGGCTGGTTAGTTGAGCTTTCATCTTTAGAGGGCAGAAAGCTGGGGTGGAAACAGCAAGATGGAGAGGGTGGAGTCAAAGAAAATGTAAAGATCTGGTGTTCCTCAGAGGAGCTGTCTCAGGTGTAGCCACATCTGATGCATTTTCATCAGTGGGAGTCTGCCGTGCCCTTTCCCTCAGAAGGGGGAAGCCAGATTAAGCCAGGCTTAATGGGGAAAGGTACCTAGTGCATCTGGAGAAATCTTAAGGCAGAAAACCCATACAGTAATGATGAGCTACCTATCTCTCTGCTATTGATCTAAAACATAACCCTTCTTTTTAAAAAAGTACTAAACAAGGTAGGAGGTTAAAAATTAAATAAGACATTAGTTCGAGTAGATTAACCATCATCGTCACTGCTTGAATTTTTTAAATTTTTGTTTTGGAGACAGGGAACAAACCCAGGGCCTTGCCCACACTGTGCAAGTATGCAACACTGAGCCCCCAGCCCTTGGTATTTCAAAGCTTTGGAATAGCCACTCAGAAATATTTCTCTTGTCCATTAGTCACTTTGTGTGGTTTTGGAAATAACTGAATGAACTTTTGGAGTTTTCCTTTGTTGAAGGGATTCGGATTGGGCGGGTCCGGGTCAGGACTCAGAAATCTGCATTTTACGCTCCTTCTCAAAGTCATCCTGTGTTAGTGGGCCAAGAATGAAGTTTGGGAAACACTGTCTTAGATTTAAGAGAATCTAGAAGTAGATTTATGAGACCAGAGCTAGGATTAGGCCAAATAAGACAGAAACACAGAATTTTTAAAAACTGAGTATGATGACACACTTTTAAAATAAGAAAAGTGAATGATAGCCATCAATAAAAAACTAAAACTGAACAGACTACAATTTGTGAGAGTCAGGGCTTGTGGTCAAAAGAGACCATGTGAGGACAGAAGACATTGTGGTAGAAGTGAAAACAAGTTAATAAGATAGTGATTAAATTTTTTACCAGTTCCTCAGAGCTTAGGATAGCAGCCTAAAAGCAAAATTATAAACACAAGGTATTAGACAAATTTTAATATATCAAGGGCAATATACATTATAAAACATAACTTAAAATAATTTAAAGTGCAAATTAAAGTATTATAAAGAAACGTTTAAAAAATTTCAACCTGTTAAATTATCTTGTGATCTTTATTACAAAACTGACAGTAGCTTATGATATAGGACTGTTAATATGTACTATTTGGGTAATGTGAGGTCACATTCATTTAAACAATCATGTACTTTTCTATTTTAAGTACTAGATGCATAGCGGAGGAAACTCGGAGAATGCAGAAAGAGAGAAAGAGAGAGAAGCAAGTGTAATTCCACCATTTGATTTGATGCACTGTATTTTTCCATATATTTCTTTTTATATAACAGACATTATACCATTTGTACAGTTTTGTCTTGCCTTTTGTTTTAATATTCATAGCAGTTACTTAATATTATTGAAAATTTTAATAAATGTAATTTTTTTTCGTACTGGAAATTGAACTCAGGATCTCACATTTGTCAGGCAGGCGCTGTGCCACTGAGCTACAGCCCCGGTTGGCTTTCCTTTGATAATTGGGAACTGCCAATGGGCACCTAAGTATGTGGAGAAGGAGTTAGCCTCTGTGTACAGGAAGAAGTGGGGGGCCAAGACTGGAGCTGCACAGTCCAGCGAGTGCTGGACATTGATGTTCTTACTGGTGGCACAACCCAGAGACAGCAAAGAATCCCCACTGAGGCTAGGGACTGATTTACATGCTTCCACGTTGGGTACTCCACTCTATTGAAAATAATACATAAACTACTTACACACAGGGCTTGGCATATAGGAAGCAAATACCCAATAAGTATTAACTCCTGTTATCGTCAGCAGCCATACAGTGGCAACTAACTGACAAACTGGAAGAAGATTAAATATTTTACATCAAGGTGATTTAAAGTAAAAAATAATATTAAAAAGTCTTACCTGGGCTCCAAATTGTGCTACAAAAATTGGTAACATCTGAAAATAAAAGAGATAAATTCACTAAAAATATATTCAAAGATAAGTTCTGGCAGATAGTATAAATATTGAGATTTTAAAAAAAGATATACTATTTGCTTAGCCAATATTTGTTACTAATGTATCATCTATAGTCATGAACAAGGTCTCATAGAGCTGGATGGGACTCATTCCATCTGTAAGGAGTGTAGTCCTGGAGGTATTTGTGACCACACCCACACCAGTGCATTAGGGACAGAAGCTAGCTCAACCGGTGCAGCTATGCTCGGGTTTGTGTCCTCCAAAGCCCTATGTGACCAAGGGTGGGCCCCAGCTTGTGGCGCTATGTGGAGATAGTGACCTTTGAGAAATGGGCAATCTTGGGAATCTCCCAGTCATTGGAAGAGAGGGAACCCTGGAAAGGGACACTGGGGCTCCTGTCCCTACTTTTCCCTCGCCATGAGGTGAGCAGCTTTTTGCACGGCCATGCGCTTGCTGCCATGATGTGGTATTCTACCTCATATGTAATGAAGAGCGCTGACTACAGACTGAAACTCTATGACCATCATCCAAAATAAGCCTTTTCTCTTCTTAAATTGGAATTCCTAACTATTTGTTATAGTAATGGAAAGCTGATTAATGCATATAAACAAAAAGTAATTTTAGTGTCTAGCAGATTTTGTGCAGAAAATTATTTCAAGAAACTGTGATGATAAAATGCATATTTTTTTACGTGTTAAAGAGACACATTAAAACATGCAGTTGATATTTAAAAATACAGAGGTTTCTTGGGACATATATGTCTATTCTCATAATAGTTGCCTGATGTTTTGTTGTTAAAATAGAGCATGGTGGGAACTCATAAGGGGTTTTAGAATTGGCAGAGCTCTTAGAATTAGGTGAGAAATAATTCAGTGGTCACTGGTAACTACAAGTTATGAATTTGTAGCTAGAAAAGTTTTGAGTGAGGTGTCGGAATGTTTTACAACTCTCTATTATCCCAGAACTACATGAAGAGCTGAGGTTTGACCAAGAATTGTATGGATCTAGGGTTCGCTCTGAACCATGTTGGCTTTCCTTTGATAATTGGGAACTGCCAATGGGTATCTAGGTATGTGGAGAGGGAGTTAGCCTCTGTCTACAGGAAGAAGTGGGGGGCCAAGACTGGAGCTGCACAGGCAAGTCCTGGACATGGATATTCTTAGTGGTGGCACAATCCAGAGACAGCAAAGAATCCCTGCTGAGGCTGGGGACTGATTTGCATTCTTCCACGTTGGGTGCCCCACTCTACTGAAACTGTTATAACTTCTACACTGACCTCTCATGCCTTTGACTCCAGTGGGTAAGTACTTGCTAGGGAATAGGAAGCTGTACTAAGTCTGTCTTTAAATTTACAACAGGGCAATAACTGGGACTGAAGCTGGCAGTTGAGAGTGGATTGTACCAGAAACATGCATGAAAGAGATTCTCATTTTATTCACACCTTCTTAAATCTTTTTCAGGGGTGGATTTTATCACCAAGATTTACATTACAATGTATTTTGTGTCTTTCATTTCAGACATCATTTGCAGAATTGGCCCAAGGGAAATACTCCTTGACATGGTCAAAGACTTAGTTACAAAGGTGTTTACTGTGGCATTGTTCATAGAAGCAGAAAGTTTGAAAAAAAAAATCACATTTTCACAAAAAAGAATTTAGTGTACAACTGCATTCTAAGCACTGACTAAAATAGTGATGTAAAAGAATAGTTCAAGGTATGACATCTATTTAAAATGTATTTAGTGGAAAAATTCAGGTTACAGAACATCTGGTCTAGTAAGAACAGTTTCTTTTGAAAATGTACTGGATTCCTTATAAAAAGCCTGGAAGGGCATATTCTAGAATGTTAATAGAATTTGTTTCTGGGTGAATTTCATTATTTCTTTCTGCTTATATATATTTTAAAAATTCATTCTAAGTAACATACTAACAAAACAATAAATAATTCTACAAAACATGAAATAATTGTGTGGAGATAATGAACCTGACACATTGGGGAGAATAAATTATCCAAAAACAATTTAGTCTGATCATAACAGGATAAGTGCATTTTCTGTAAAGCTTTTTAAGTTGTTCAGAGGAGATTCAAGAAGCTAAGAATTTGGAGTTGTCCAATGTTAAAATGCGAACACTTCCCAAAGCGGTACCCTAAGCATGTTATTTTTATGTGTGCAAGTATTTTAGTGTGAAAGTATTTTCTAAGGCTTTTTCTGAAAGCAAGCAGTGGTGGGAAGTGAGAATATAATAACTGAAAGGCCTTTGGGAATTTTTAAGGGTGCATGAAGAAAAAGCACCAAGAAGGGGAAAATTAGATTTGCTAAAAAGAAACTTTATCCATCACTTAATTTTTCTTTGGGATGATCTTGGTCATCCAGGAAGTATTCAATAGAAAGCAATGTTAGAACACAATCTCAGCTCTTCTCAGTTTCTCTCCTTATATTCTTCACTTTCCATTCTTCCCAACTCTTTGGTTTTCCTCTTACTCATTATAAATGTATTCCAGAGCAGATACAGGGCAAAGCCACCCAATACTGTTCTATGTTATATACAACATTCAGTGGACCCTCGAGTTATGACATGCCTAATGTATGAACAATGTGGGTTATGACCATAATTTTAGTTTTAACTTATGACCAAAGTCTTGAGTTATAACCTGAATGCAGGCCAACTTGTGTTTCCAGATGGTCTCAGATACAGATCTAACCCTTCAAAAGTTCTCGAAGGAGCGATACAACATCCTTTCCTGTGTGGGGTCGATTGTGAAATCCTGGGCCAGTGTCTCTCTAAGGACACCGAGATCTGCTGTGCATAGGAGAGAGACTCTGAAGGCTGTGTAGAGGAGCCTGAGCCTCCTGTTGACAACACGAGTTGTCAGCCCTTGGGACTGAATTGAGTTCCTAAGTCAAGGGTCCACTTGTAGATCTTCAAATGACCTGGGTATAATTTTCAAGATGTTTAAACATTCTTTCAACCCTGTTCATATCTACCCTAGAGCCCTCAGTGTCACACTGAGGGCCAGTTGTTCTCACCTGTGGCTGCAGTTGATTTTGTCCATTCAGTGCTCCCAGAGGTAATGGCAGTGTGTGGGCTGCAGGCGTCGCCCCTGGGGCAGGACTGAGCTGTGGGCAATAAGGGAGATTTTCACTGTATTTCTTTCAGTGTGAACAATAGGAAACTAAAATGTACTTGCTAAATGTAAAAAAAAATGTATCTAGAGGGAGGATTTGTTATGCAAGTATGTAGTATTTTACTGGGTGCATAATTAGATGTGATAAAATTCAGACTTGTTTACTCTGCTAGCTCCAAAATAAGGTCCATTACTAACTTTTCCATATTACATTCAGCTCCCCCGAGGAGAATTATGTAGGTGATGTGTCCTTGCTTCCCCCTTTTGGCTGCAAAAGCAAAGGCTGTTGGATTTTTCTGATGGCTTTTTTTTTTTTTCTGAAGAAATAAATTTCTTCAAAGGTACTCCATGAAAAGTATAAAGTAAAGAATAAATTATTTAGTCAGAACGTGAATTAATACTATATTTGAATGTGAACATTGGAAAAAGTCCATTTTAGTTAGGAGAGGGAGTTCTTTTTCCACCCCACATAGATTTAAACTTAAAATATCTGTGAGAAGGCTGAAGCTCTTTCTGCCCTGTCCGGCTTGCTGTTATCGGGGTGAGGATGCTCAGATGGGTGTCCACGTGGATGCGGTAGTGGGCACCAACGGAGGCACGATGGGAAAATGGGAAGCTGGGCTTGGAGAAGAGGTGAGAGGAACTTGAGAATTAGATCAGTGCCTTTAGAAGAGATGTTCTTATCAAGAAGATCTCTTCAGGATGTACTGACTAGAATCCAGCTCTCTGACTTTTCTCTTGTTCCTTTTGCTCATCTGCAGTGAACGCGCGTGTGCACGGGTGGACAGCCACTTCCCTATGTTCTTGCCTCTCCTCCTTGCTCAACATCAAGCATTAGATTTAACAATGGATGGTCTAAGAGATGAATGATGCATGACCTAAAGGGCACTTACCAGTTGCAGATCTGAACCCAGTGTGAGCAAGTGTGTTAATGGTATTAGACTTAAGGAAGGGAAGACCTGCAGGGAGTTGAAATTGATGTATTAGACAACAGATCATCTATTTCCACCACTCTGCTAATGGCTAGCTCTCCTCCCGGCATCTGCACTCCTGTCCGAGGTGGACTCATACCCTGGGCCGCTCTAGCCTTGCAGTGTCCTCCCAAGGCCTTGATGTCCCCTCCCAGGGTCCTGGGAGTGTCTTAGCAGTGTGTCAAGTTTATAATTTGAGCTGGCTTACTCTTATTTCCTATGTTGTCATGAATAATCACTTTGATACCTAATTGTACATATCTAATTTGTATTCATCATTCATTGTTATTCAAACAAAAGACAACGAAAGTGTTTTGCTTTCTTAATTTTTTAAAAAAGTGTTTTGGGTCTTTCCTCTCAAAAGTAAAACCTTTTTCTCTTGTTCATTCATGAGACACTGTGAATCTTGATTTTATACCCATCTGTCTTAGCACGTTCCCTTTGCTGGTTTGTACATCTTTCTATTGTGGGACACTTACCTGACCAGGTTGCTGTTGGCTTAGTGGTGTCACCTGATCTGGAGCTGGTTTTGTGGGAGAAACTTCCAACGCAGAATTAAGCTGCTTCTGTGAATACAAATATTTGAAAAGCAGGACTGCAGTTCAGGTTTTATATCTATTTATGTGCACAGGGTAACAGGTTTTCCTGTTGCAAAAATGCCTATCTCTGAGCTCTCTGTATTTTGAACAGTTTTAATTCTTGGAACACTTTGTGCATGGCAGGAGATGGAACTGTAGAATGGAAAACTTGAAAGCAGTAATGAAGGGAGTAGGAGAGCCTGAGCACGTAGGTTTTCTAGTGGTTTTTCTTGGCTTTTATTCCTTCTCTGTAACTACTTTTCTCCTTTGTCTGGATCAGGAATATAAACTCTGCATCTCAGTTCTGTGCACGTTTGCTTTTTCCCAGTGCTTGAGTTGAACTGCAGTAAATCCCACTGTATTTCATTAGTTTCTGACTTTCGCCTTGTGGCTGACATGTTGATCCTGTAACGCAAGTTTGGTCTCTTTCCTGGCCAGGGTATTTTTTGATGTATTAAGAATCACTGATCTGAAGGGGTGAAAATGTCCTTGCTACCCCGTGATCTAGCTGTGTGGCTTTGTTTTATAGAGAAGCCAGCTACCTAGCCAAGGTGACATGGTGAGTGGTGGAGCCAACACCAGGTTCCCTGGAATGCTCTTCTTTGCCCTGAAACCTGCGTCCTTCCCTTCCAGCTGACCATAGCCGGCCTTGCTCCTGGATGTGTCCCTGCAGACAGGGAGACGTGGCCTTCCACATGCACCAGCCCCAGAGCAGTCAGCTCTTGGTTTCTCTTCAGTCTTTCACCTTTAGTTGTAAAAAGAGTAGTTGCCATTACGTCTCTGGAGGGCTCTTTCGGCATTACGCCTGAGAAAGGATGTATCCTCCAGACGAATCTTTTCATGCTTGCAATCTTGTTAACACGGCAGCCACAGTGACCTTTGGAAAGCAGGACTCCTGTCATTCCCTCTGCTCGGTGCCTGGGACGATTGTCAACTTCACTCAGAGTGAAAGGCACACACCCCACCAGGTCTGAAAGCCTCATGCTCTAGGTCCAGCGACCTTGGACCTTTTCCTACCTCACCTCTGCTCACTCTGCACAGGCCAGCAGGTTCTGTGCTCTTTCTGAGGTTGGTACAGCCCATTCCTGCCTCAGCACCCCATCTGCACCTGTTTTCTCTGACTGGAATGCTCTTTCAACATACAGTGCTTTACTCCTGCACTGGCTTTGCATTCTTATTTCTTACTGTGACCCACCTTGGCCTCACCCTCTGCCGAGCACCGGCCTGCTCCATCTGACTCTGCCCTGTGCTCTTTTTCTCAGGGCTCACCGCCACCAACATGCATTGAATCTCCTGGTTCAGGAGGTTTAGCATTTGTTTCCTTGCTAGAATATAAATGTCACAAGAGCAGAAACGACACAACTCAAGCAGATAAATCAGTGTCTGGCGTACTGTTGGCAGGCAAATATTTGTTGAAAGAACGAAATCTTGGTTTCTTTCAGGCCACCTACTTCCTGTGACTTTGATTCATCTGAATTCTTTCTTTCTACTCCAAATGTGCAATCTGATTTCTACCTCCACTCTAGGTCTACTGAAAAGAATCACTAAATGCTGCAAGCTTCCACATTTGAAAACAGATTCATTTTCATGCCTTTATAATTCAGTACATTCATCTGCATAAAATACGAAATACTTTGTTCATGTGTCCTGATTTTCATTTGATTTCTCCCCCTCATGGACGCTCAGAGTCATCTCCGTGTCCCTACCCATTCCCGCCCTCCGCTCCTCTAGCTGCTGTGGGCTGTGCACTCGGCTCCTCCGCCCCTTCACTGGGATTCTGCCAAGTTCTGTTTATCTTGAGTTTTACCAGTTGCACGGAAGTTTAAATATGCTATATTTTATTTTGAAGAACCTTTTGGTAAAGTTTTTCAGTGAAGTGAAATATCTGCTTGTTTTACAAAAAAATTAACTTCCTACTTTACCCAGTTTCAAAGCTCAAATCTGCACAGACCCCGTCTTTCTGGGCAGAAATGCACATGGCTATGAAGTGAAAGTAAGGAGGCTGGGGATCCGTGTTTTGTTCCATTCTCCCATAAGCTCACCATGTTCATTTCCTTCATAGCATGAATCACAGCTATTTATAATTACTTTCTTTTAACCACAAGTACTTGGTTCGTGTGCGTAGGCCTTGTACACACCATCAGGGACCAGCACCCCCATCATTGTGTTTCCAGCAAATAATGCAGTGTCCGGCATACAAAGAGGGTTCAATTCTTCTTTGTTGATAATATGGATGACTATAGAAGCATCATGTGAGCTTCAGGCTCAACTAAGAGTGTTTTCTTTTCACAGCCGGTAAATTTTTTTCGTAATGTCCATACTCAAGCATCTTGAACAAAGATCCATTTAGAGATCTGAATCCCCCATGAGTATGTTTATAAAGCAGACTTCTGGAGTGTGAAACACTAATCCTCTTTTCTTTCAAAACCTGCTAGATGTGAACACCTTTTGTGAGGAAATGTCCCCAGACCACTTTACAAAATGATTTTGGTATCACACAGTTTGACAGACATTATATAATGTAGATATTATTCAACTAGAAAATTTAGTTTAGCTCTTTAGTCAGGAACAAAAAATTAGTTGCTAAGAAATTTTTTTTTTGAAAATGAAATAATTATTCATTTTGAGTAGATATAGCCTGAGGCATTCCTTTCTCCTTCATTCCTAACCCACTGTTTTGCCGGTATTACTGAAATCCTTCTACAACTGTGTGGATGTATTCTAAAATGCAAAATATTGAAATATGGACCAGCACCTTGTTAGTGTATGTTTTCCCTGGAGAATAAAAACATGAAACTGAAAAGCTGCATCATAAAATAAATGAGCTCTGGAGGCCACAGGGAGAGAGAAGCCTGCGGCCGGCCATGCTGCAGGGCTGGGTGACACAGAAAGCAGACAGACTGCACTTACCGGTAGGGCCTGAGTTGATCCAAGAAGACAAAACAGCAGAATTGCAGTCTTCATGTTTCAAATTGCTGCCTATGAGAGCAAAACAGTGTCCCCAACTTTAGATCTACTGGAAATCATCACTTAGCTCCTGTAATTCTCCATATTTGCAGATGGATTAATTTTTCATGTCTTTATAATTTAATACATTCATTTGCATAAACTAAGAAATACCTGTTCATGTGTTCTGATTTTCATTTGATAAATATTGTCTCTACACTCAGTAGACATTCAGTGTCATCTCCGTATGCCTTACCTACTCTCATTCAAGTACAAAATACTGAAATATCTTTCATTCCATTTTTCGCATTTGAGATACATGATACATTAAAAAGATAAACATTCTACTTGAAACATTGTCAGTTAGAGTTACCTTGTGTTCACCAGGCAAAATATACAGATGAAATGATATTCAAAATCCAGGTGAATTCTCCAGTTTACTCTGGTAAAATAGTTTATCTTTTGATGATTTGAATTTGTAGACAGAATTTAAACTCAGCTCCAGAATACTGGCAAAGTGAGAACCAATCAGGATTCAGCTGTCTGTGAAATCATTTGGTTTCTTTCACTTCCCAACACTTCATTAGGTGGGTTATCAGGTACAGACGTTATGTTACTCAGTGTCTAACATTTGGCGAGAAGGTATTTCAGGGAAAACGCCTTGCGTAAGGAAAAAAGTACAACCATTAAAAAAATTAAAATTTGTTTTCACCTGCATTTCTTTCCTAAATCATTTCCAAAGTTACTCATTTTTATCATATGAAAATGAAGACATAAATCAGACACCAACATATATAGAACTCTCTATATACTTAAAAAGTGAAGTTTATTATGTATATTGCTCTGAAATTTACCTGGCTTACTTCAATAATGACCAACTTTGAGTCAGCACACATGGATTACTTTCATTTGTGTAGTGGTTACATTATATTATATCACATCACCTTTTTCTTTTGATGAACAGTAAATTCATTTCCATTTTATTTTGTAATGATAAAAGTGCTACAATGAGCATCCTCATAAAACTTATTTGCACATGTGAAGTATCTGTAGGTGAAATTCCTGGAAATACTATTTTAAAGGATATCTGGATTTTATATTTGAATAAATATGGCTAAATTGCCTTTCAGAGATTTGAACAGTCTTAATTTCTTTTTTGGTGTCTTTGAGACAGAATCCGGCCCCGCACTCATGGACATCCTCCTGCCTCAGTGATGGGTTTGCAGGCATGCATCCCTTGCCTGACACCTAGTTCTTCATTTCTATTGAGAGAAAAGACACTAGAACCTAAGGAAAACATAGGGATACACTGAAGTTTCTTTCACGCAAAGAACTGTTAAGTGCCATCTGTAAGTTTCCAGGGCAGAGGCAGGTGGGGTCCCTTTGATAATTTCTGAAATCAAAGAAATGATGAATCTGGGCCTGGCCTATAAGATATTCCTCATTTAATGACTGAGTTCCATTCCTGAGACTAGATCCCTAAATAAACTGGTTGCTAAATGATGAACTGTATATAGTATGTACATTATAATATTCAGAACAAAGAGATGGCCTAAGGAATCTCCAGCTTGACGACTTCGCTTTTATTTGCACAACTCTTACGCGCAGTACTGTAATGTATAACAGAATATAAAACTAAAGTACTATATACTGTACAGTACACTCAGCCAAGATTACAGACTGTAGAAACAAGGTGTACTGTACAAAAAAGATGTGAGTCTCTATGAACAAAATGTAGAGAAATGTCTAAAGAAAGATGAGTGGTAAGTCATAAATCCCAAAGTTGTTAATCATGTGTGTGGGTGAACGAGGGCCATCCGCATTTGCGCGAAAGACCATCCTCGGCTTGGCTCGCCTTCCTTCGTTCTCTTCTCTTTACCGGCACAGCACCGGAAATCTTAGCGGGAACTGACTGAGATGGGGAGACGAAGCTGTTCTCGGACGACTCCATTAGCATGTAATGGACTTTGGTTCCTGTCAGAGACGGTGCCGGGCGTGGGGGGACGATCAGAAGGGAGCCACAGGGGCTGAGACGGATCGCAGAGCGCTTCCTGTGGGCCTGGATGGACGCACAGGTGCGAAGGGCATGGCTAATGAGGTTGGAGGCACAAGGACAGGAAAGGCTGACCCGGGAGGTCACCCGAGGCCAGCTTTGAAGACGCGGAAGAAAGTCGTTAGGAGGGCCTGGCAGTGCCCCAGAGTACACGTCCACATGGGCCGCTGCTGTCCTTCCTGCGCACCGGAGCAGAGCGCGGTGGGAGGAACAGCGCGGGGTAAGGTTGCAGAATTCCTCCTTTCCTACCCAGAGCCTAATTTCTGTTTCTATTGCTCGTTGTGACCCTCATCACGGTTCCTCTGTGTCTCCTCCATTCTTTTCTGGCAGTCTCTGCTGTACTAGAATCTGGGAACGAGATGGTGAGTTCTGGGGGCCTTGTTTTAAATTTCTTTGGAGTCTTCTATGTTTGTAGTATGACAGAAGCACAATATGATCACTGCAAGCTTACGAGAAAACAGAGGGAGTGAGGTCAAACTGAATCGAGTGACTTCCTCAAAGAGCAGATGTGGCTGTCCACGGCCTTGGAGAATAAATATGACTAATGATCAGTGAATGGCACGGTGTAGGATCATGCTGAGAGGAGTCATGAACTATAAATGCTAAAGGGCACAGAAGGGAAGCAAATGTACGTACATCCTTGCAACCAGTAGGAGAAAACACAGCTTTAAATTTCAGAATGTTTCCCTGCTTGTCCAGACTTTTCACACCAAGGATGTAAACTGCCGCCCTCCCTCTCCTCTGCTGGGCCAGGAGAACGGACAGGATGTGCAGGTCCTGGCCCCAGAGGGCAGGTCCAGTTTTCCTTCCACAGGGAAGGGAAGCTGGGACAGGGCTGAGCGGGAAAACACAAGTGTGGAGGTGCCTGCCACCCCACTGTGTTCCCTCTCTCCTCTGCTCCTCACTCTAAAAGCCTCCGGACACCTGCACAGTGAGACAGTGGCTCACGGCAGTATGAGCCCCTCCGTCTCTTTCATGCTACACTTGAAGAAAGCCTTTTTGCTCATGGTTTGTGTGGGAAGTGTACAGTTCTGAGTGTCTGCTTACCTCCTCATGAGCTTTCATAGACAAGCTTATGCTTTTAAAAAATTCACTCAGTTCACTTACCAGTATATCATTTAACATTCACTCTATATTCAGTAGTATTGCTGTAGTCCCTGGCAATAAAAATCTTGTCCTGATAGAGCTTATATATGACAGAGGGATATTAAGTATTCAAGTAGCCTCACTGTATGAAAGAGAGCCCAAGGCACTTGGGATTCTACTTCCTCCGGATTTTAAGTGAATGTAGGGTGAGGGTCTCTTACATTTTTCTTATAATGGAGACAGAACTGAATTTTATGCCACTGCTGTTTTGGGGTCAGGTGAGGAGGCCTGTTTTCTGTTGTTGGTGTAAAGCGTGATTTTAGTGATGCACTCATTCAGAGTGAGTCATTGTTTGCCACTGTCTGGGCATTAGGTGACTCAGGGACCTCACAGTGAGCATGACGTGCTGCTAACCCCAGGCTGCGATGGGACATGCCCTAGCCGGGAAACAGCCATCATGGGATCAGACCAAAATGAACAAGCAAAATTAAGAAAGCTGAGTAATTTCTTCGACAAGAAAATTTTAGTGTGAAAGCAGGTAACTTATAACAATATAATTATGGTGTTGGGTGTCAAGAAATATATACTATTAAAGGGAAAAATCCTAAATCATTTTTAAATGAGACAAATCAGCAAAAACACTAATACAGAGCATGTGAATATTCATAGAAGTATTTCATGAGGCACAAATGACAGCTCTGCCTATCTGGACATTTCTTAATCCTCTCACAGGTTTCAGTTTTAAATTTCTTTCGATTAGAGAAACTTTTTAAACCTGATTCAATTTATACCTCATATTAGAAAAGCACAAGGACCTATAGATATGATGTATTGGGCAACTGCAGAAGTTTCAGGAGTCTCCTGAGAGCACAATTGTGAAGCCCTAGATTAAGAAACTCTGGTCTAGGAAGAAGGAGTTGGAGAGGGAGGGAGAGAGTGCAGGGAGGACAATGAAGGAAAGAACCTGATTAAAATATTTTATAAACACATATGAAGATGCCACAGTACAAAAGAAAAAGGAATATTTGTTTAGAGGAATCTTGGTGTAACTCTCTGGCATGATTTGTATGCTGCCTGAACTTTTAGAATTTCTCCAGTCAAAGAATATACTTTCTCCTAATTTCTGCTGTACCAAATGGACAGAGAAAAAGCCCTGGAATTATCTAAACCCGAGACATGTTTCATAAATCCTGCTCTAAGAGGATCTGTTTAGCAATGAAAGGGTAAACAGATTCAGACCTGAAATATTTTCTATCTTCTTTCAGCACTCAATAATTTAATTGCAAAGTCACAAGGATGCAAAGCTCATGATTTCTATTAATTATAATGATTACTTGACTGAAAAAAGAAGGTGAATTGGTTAGTAGAAATGATAGCCAGCACTGTAATTCTAGTGACACCTATTAAACATAAATTTAAATTGTACTGTATCAGGTTAATAATCCTATTATTGTGGATTGATCAAGTCCCCAATCATCCAAATGAGTGGATGGTGAAGGCTTAAATAAATGAGAAAATTGAAATGATTTTAGGGCTCTAGGAGGGTTCAACCCTCTCACAGAATTCAGCATTCTCTGGATTAAGACCAAGACTTTCCTAGGCAGCCTGTATTTATTTGGTTTTCAAACAAAGGAGAGGGCATACTGAAGAAAATGCAGAAATCTGGGCAGGACTTGGAATCCCTTTAAGGACTTCTCCAAGTAATACTTTATGTTATTTTAGGAGAACTATGCTATCTCCAGGAAGGCTTTCACTGTAGGAGTGAGATTCCTGCAGTTTCAGTTTTCTTTTAGTGAATTGGGGTTGGAGCCAAAAGTCCTCAGCTGTGGCCTTATCTTGTCGTTTGAGGCATCCCAACTTCACAGGCCAATACAGGCCACCTACCTCCCAGCAGGAGGTTCACTTACTATGAGTCCACTGCCCATCTCTGGACAAGGGCCTAGGCCTCAGGCAAACTCACAAGTAAACATGAAGAGCCAATTGCTTAATATTAAGTCCTGCTTAGAGCTCTTTCCTTTTTTTTTTTTTCTTTTTTTTCAGAGCTCTTTCATAGTGGTCTCCATCAGTACTGGGCCAGGCTTTATCTGAGGAGCTACAGCACAAAAGTGAAGAATGTAGATTCTGCATTTACCTACTGTGGGAACACAGCTTGGAGTCCACTTCTGCAACTCTGGATACTGATGTCCGTCTTTGTTCTCCTAATTTGGAGTCAGTCTTGTCTTTTTCTTCCCTAGACTGTATTGAAATTCATGACTTACTTATTTTACCCTACTGTGGTAGAAGTTATTATTTTTTGTGTTATTGTTTTAAGATAGCAGATTTCAAGGGAGATTCTGTGCTTGGATTAATTTTTATATAATCT